TTTCTCTAAATTGAATAGTTTTTTTTCTGCAGCGCTTCAAAACCGCTGCATATCTTTTGCCCCACCCTGTAGTTTGAACTCTAAATTAAGATTTTGCGAAAAACTACTTTTACCTTTGTTCTTAATAACAATGGCAGGTATCGCTCTTTTTAATTTTGTCCTAAGAGCATGCTTAACTGTACATATAATATGTTTTTATCAGCGAATCAATTGTGGAACAATAACAGATACCTACACTTGTGTGTAGTAATTGTATGTTTAAGCACTGTACATCTTAAGTCATACATTTAATTTAAAAACAAACCGAATACAAAGTTAATATTCAACGTTTTTAATTAAATGAATATACATTTATATTACCTCAATATTGTTTACCTCCACGCAGCGGTGTACCTCCACCTTAGGCAAAACTCGTTATCACACAAATCCACACTATCACAAATCTGTTAGGAAAATTTCTGAGTGTTGTAAATAAAAGTTTTGTTTTTTGTTAATAATTGAGATTTCTTTATTACTCTCTTCTTTCTGTGAGTTATATCTAGTTAATTTAAATTTAGCGCCATAGTAACAGTTTGTTTTCATTGTTGTAGCTACGGATCCGATTCGTGAGAATATCTAAATATTAAATCATAATAATTTGGTCGTGTTTCGGTATTTCGTTTCGATTTGCGTTACAGTTCATATTTGTCTTGCCTGTTAATCATTAATTATAAGTTTTGGAGCTGCAGCCCTAGACAGCGGTATACGGTTTTACGTTGTGTGAGTACCTACTGATTTGTATTTCTTACTTATTTACATTATTGCTGTGTTTTCTGTCTTCCATTGGCTTAGACTACTGCATGTGTATATCTAACTTTAATCTTTATTGTGTTACCTTCTTACCTACAATTCATACTTGTAGTTTTGTGTTATTAATCTAATTTAAGTAAATTTAATTTTGTTTTCAATGGTTAATAAAACTATCTGTACTACTAAAAAATAAAGTTAAAATAAATATAAAGTAGTTAAATAACACTTTACACTTTACTCATTACAAACATTAAAAATGTATTAGTTATGCCGTCATCTTTCTTTAAACGCTTTTCAAATATTATTCCTGCATATTCTGATGATAGCAAAGCCAGTTGGAATATTTGGAACCTAATAAAATATATCTTATCATCTGTTTGGCCAATACAGTGGCGCATCTATACAATGAGGACAACAACATAATGTAACTTAAAATTTGTTTCATAACACTCGTCGTTTTTGTTTTATTTGTAATATAATGTATTGTTAAAATAGCTATCGTTTGTTAATTTACTCTGAGGATTATTTCGATTACTGCAAAATAGAAAAATTAAATACGTAAGTGGTTGCAGAACTATTATAGTTTGTAAAGATAAACTATGAAGCTTAAAATATATTCATAAATTTAAAAAATGTTTTGCTTAAACTAACGACACAAAAAAGGAATACACTGTAGACTCGATAATATTATTATATTTTTTTATTATTATAATTATTAGCAGGTTAGATTATATATTTCTCTAGGATATTCTTTTTTTATTCATTGTCCAATTAAAACAATTTTTATCGTTCCGTTATATCTAGTTTGTTATTTTTGGAAATTTAGAATAATTTTTTTAATTCTGAGTAATTTACTGAATGATTGAGTAACAATAACTAAATAACACAATGTCAAAATGTTAGTTTCATGATGTGTTGATTTCTTTTTTTTTAATTTTACTTATCGGACGATTGTAAATTTCAACGAATTGCTTGTAAGAGCTACTTGAGTCAGATAGTAAATAAAAAAAATCCGTCAACAATCTACGGTTAGCGCTGATGATGGCAACATAGTTGCTGTAATACGTATACGCTGAAGAGTATATTTTTATTGTGGTTAGAGTTTATTTGTAATTGTAAATAAAATCCACTGGTTCTTAAAGCATTTTGATTGTCATTCAAACCTAATAAGTTGTATGTCGTGTTTCCCGTACTACATATTATTATTATACTTACCTTAAGATACGTTAAATAACTAATCTGTGAATGTGGAAAACTTTGTTATATTTAAAAATAATTTAACACTTTTTTTTACAAAAATGATTTGAAATGAGGTGAAGAGAAGTGGCATTGTAATTAATTAGTTGTAGGTTTCATGTAACACAAAATCGGTGGAGAGCAAATTAACAATTTTGTTTAGTTGTAGGTTATAAGATAGAAACGATAGTTAATAATAGGCTTAGAATTTGTTTGGATTAGTATTTTTAGATCCAGGAGATGTTTCTAAAAACTAAACATAATTTACGTATTATATAACAATTTTCTACCTGAAAACATAGAAGTATATAAAAGTAGTGTACTTAGAACTACAGCTGAACCTCATTTCTTCAGGTTTTTATATTTAAATTATGTTTTATAATATTTATATATTTATATATGTTTTAGACAAGCTAGTTTTACAATTAGTTGACAATCAAACACAGAAAAGGTACATCTATATTCTAAACTGTAATACAAGCAACCCATTATGGAAGTTATTATGAAAGAACACTTTGAAAAAATTTATCAATTCTATGAGTAAGTCTTTATTTGATAAGTTTTGTACAAGTATTATTTATTGCCGATAAATGATTGTATTTTTATTGTTCCCTGAGAAGTCTTGGGTGTAGGTATAAACTTTTTACTTTAATAGGTATATACAAGTGATAATTTTACCGTAAACCACTCAATATCTATTAGGGTTTAATAAGAAATTACATTTTTTATTTTCATATTGTTTATTATTAAGATGGGCCGATACCATTTTTATTGATACCCGATATTCCGATATATGTTGCCGATATAAAACCGATACCCGATATATTAAAAAATGCATAATTTTTTGCAAAAACTATGAACCGATATTAACACAAAACCGTTATCACAAACTGATACCCAATAAAACCAATATTACATAATATTACCATAGATTATTATTGTACAAATATCGATATTTTTTCATATGTACCCCCTCCCAGTTTTTTGATAGCTACTTTTGAAATAAAATAGTAACGCATTATCATTAATTTTTTTAATCAAGAATAATGTATCTAAGATTTTGACTGGTTGCAAACCGATCATGAATCAATACTTTTAAAGCTATAAGAGTTTGTAAGCTAGGACAAGAGGAAGTGTAGATACAAATACTATACTCCACCTTTCCTCCTGCCCTTAACTTGAAACTCTGATAACTTCAAAAATAGTTATCCAAAACTGGTTATGTTATCGGCCAGCTAAAAACTTTAGTACGTTGTTCTCAATTTAAAGTGTTCATGAAATGTATGCGTTACCATTAAAGTATCAGAAGTTGCTATCAAAAAAATGTAAGTTGAGAAGGGATAAAAACAAAAAAAGTTGTACATTTATAAAAACATGATGGAAAAAAAAATGTTATATTAAACCCTATAAGATATTGAATGGTTCACGGAAAATTACACTGTATATTGATATACCTATATATATATATACAAATATTTGTTTTAAAAGTTATGGGGTAAATACTTTTACTATTTTTACATAAAATAAAACAATAATTAAAAATGTACTTTATTTGTAAATAAAAAAACAAATGGTGTTAATTGAATTTTAAAAATGTATAATTCAAATCTTTCATTTAAAAATCATGCATCATTTTTCTACATAATCCAAATAAGCAAAACTTATATTATGGCTTTTTCAAGAGCTTTGTTTAATTTTTTTTTTTGGTTTACACTACGAAAAAAACGAGAAAACAATAGTTTCTACACATTATTATCAATATTTATATAATTTTTTAAATATCATGATTCTTATTCCACATTTATGTACACTTATTGCATATTTTGTTATTGCTTTTCAGAATTTTTTTTTTTTCAATTTAAATCTTATAGTAATTTATTACTACTATTGCAAATAAATACATTAATATGAATACTTTTTTTTAGGGAAAAAGAATTTTGTGATGTTACCTTAGTTACCGATGAAAGCTTAAAAATAGAAGCACACAGACAAATATTGGCCTCTGCGAGTCATGTATTTTGTACGATGTTCAGTGGACAGTTTAGAGAAAGAAATAAAAATTAGATTCTTATAAATGATATAGATTCTGAAATTTTAGAATTTGTGGTGAAATTTCCATATACTTGTAAACTGGATATTAAAGAAAATAATTGCGAAGTAGGAAATATGCAATAGGATATACAATTTATAAAATATTACACTATTTTTATTTACTTGTTATTATATTTTGTAGAAACTGTTGATGGCTGCTAACATGTATGGTCTAAATCATATAATTTAAATATATTATGTTTTAAACATATTAAAGAAAACATAAATCCTACAAATTGTGTTAGTTTTATGAAAAATTCCAAATCAATATTAGATGAAAAGATTTACAATATCTGTTGGCTATATTTTTTATACCATTTCACGTTAGTAATCAGGTGCGACATATGATCGCAACGTTTAAATTATTAAATAATAAAACAAAGAGTTTTTTTAGTATGCTTGTGAATTCGGATCAAGCATTAAAAGCCCTATTTATGGCTTCGAGTTTGATGATGTTGTCGAGTTTATTGCACGTGATGATTTTGTAATTGATTCTGAGGAAAAGGTATAATAATTGTGACTTAATAATAAATAAAAAAATTACTTGTTATAATGTTGGCTCTATTACAGTTATTTAATAATAATTTTAGAGTTTATTTTAGATATTTGATTTTATCATTGGTTGGATACGCTATAGCACAGATGAACTTAATGACTTGTTACCGGTTCTTATGAAATATTTACGTTCGCCTTTAATTTCAAAAGAAGGACTACTAAGGATTTATGATCATTCATTAGTGCGAAATAATACTAATGGCAAGCATATATTGTTGATATTCCAAACTAAATTGTTGCCCTTTATTTGTACATACAATAGCGCCTATAAGTGAAATATATGTTTGATGTGTCTTTTAAATAAATATTATTATTGTTATGCTTTTTTAGTTATGAGAGGAATTTTAGACAATATCACTAAAATTTACATCAAATCAAAACCACCAGCTACTCTTGGAAGATGTACTCAAATCGACTCATCAAATGTATGTAGACATTTAAAAACTAGATTTTTACACGTTATAGGTACACAATAATTGTACTAGTTATGTGCTTGTATCACCTGACGTTTGTGTTTATGTAAATTCAGATTGTTTTTGCAATCACTGGTCATTCAAACAGTGCCGGTTCCTGTGTAAAGTATATGGATATTAGAAACGTTAATGACTTAAAATGAAAACTGAGCGATCCTAACCGTGAAGACTCAAATATGGTAGTATCTGAAAATGGGATAATACTTGCCATCGGTGGTGCAGATGAGTCTGGTCGATGGGTCCATCATGTAGACGAGCTTGATCTAAAGTCAGAATCAAAACTATGGGTTTCTACAGAGCCATTGAATAAACCACGAACAAATTTTGCTGTTTGTACATAAAAGCAGTACATATATGTCGTATGTATTAATTTTATTGTAGGTAACATAACGAATACACATTGTGTACAAGAAAATATAGATGTATATTTTTATGATATAGGTCGGTGGCTATGATTTCTCAAATAAGAATTATTTGAATTCTGTAGAATACTATGATACAAAGTCAAAAGTATGGACGGAGATTATTATACCAATGCCCACTGCTCGATACAGGTGCACTGCTGCAGTAGTTAATAATAAATTATATGTTGTATGTAAACACAATTTAACCATAAATACCATGCCTAAGTACTAAACAAGTTTCTACTTATATTTGATTACAAAATAATTGTAAAAATCAATGGCAATTGGTTGACAGTGCAGGAGAGTGATCATCCCTATTTAGTCATATCATTACATTTAATGATGTTACTCTTAAATCCTATGGTATTGAATTATAATACTATTTTTTTTTTTAATACCTTTTTGTGAATTCAATTTAGTCTGAAAATTACTTACACATTTTGCTGTTGATGATTTATTTGTATTTGGTTTTACTTTGGGAGAACTTCATTGTAAATATATTACTCAAAGAAAACATGGCATCTGGTTGCCAAGGCAGAAGAGACATCAAACGTTTTTGTTGTAATATTATTGCTTTTAATGATATTACTCTGAAATCATATTATGGTATTCCCTTATAAAATTGCTTTTTATTAATTAAATTAATAATACGAATAAAAATTAGTTTTTTAATTATTTATTTTTTTGGCCTTTAATTTCAACTACAAACTATGTTGGAACAGATGGAGAGAAATCTCTTCGTTAGCTTCTGATGTGTAGTACCTCTAATTATTCAGTTTTAATTATAAATTAACTAGAAGGTACAAACAAAAAATATACTTTTCATCTTATTATAGTAAATAACATATGTGTAAATCTGACCTACAAGTGAATTGTATCTGTCGACAAAAGTCTCAATTTGTTATTAGATCTTAAATATATTTATTAGAAGTATAATGATATGATAAGCATATGGTTATAAGATTTTAATATTTTCCAATATTATGATTCAATTATTTTTTTGGACACTAAAAGTTGTATTTAATAAAGTTTTAACTAATTTCTCTTACTTAATTACAAAATCAATTGTTGATGAATAACTAGTTTAATATTTAAATACAGTTATTTTTGGTGTTATAAAAAGTTAAGTGAAATGTGAATTTTCACTGTGCTTCTAAATTGACTAAAATTTAAGTTCCTCTATATTTATTTAGATATAAGTAACTTGTTTTGATTTTTTATATATTAGTAATTTTTGTTTTAAAACATTATTTAAAAAAGTACCTTTAACAAACGCAAAAAAAACTTACACTACTATAACTTTCCTTAACCTAGTATACATTCTTCCCGTCATGCCTACAATTAAGAAAAACAATAAACTGATACATTAGTAGTTAAAATCTTGTTTATACAGCTGTAATATAATAGTTTGCGATTTGTTATTTACAGAGATAACAAGACTTATAGTCATATTACAATTAAACATGAAATTTACCAAATTGATGATCATGTGTTTGAAACTGTGATTCAAGTGGAAGAACCTTTGATTCTGCAGTCAAATGACAAATTGATGGACGAAAGAGAGTCGGTCAGATGCAGTGTGTGTTCAAAACAATTTTCATCTAAACGAAAACTGAACCACCATATTACACAATCACACAATGGTCGTTCTAAAACCGAGGAATGTTTAATTTTAAAAGAAATTGATGAAAATACTTCAGCGTAAGGCGATTTTTTAATTTGCATAAACAGTAATAGCAATAGTCAATAGTCATTCTAGTAAATAACAGATACTACAGCTTAAACTTTGATTACAATGTACAATAAAGCTTATATGATTTTGTAGTATCATATCGTTTATAGATCATGTTTTGAAATAAAATAAAATATTTAAGCTAATTTGACTTAAAAATAAAATAAAATTAAAATCTTTAAAAAAAAAAAATTGTTATCAGTGTTCTAAAATATAACATTTTTTTCCAAATAAGTTCATGTTTTTTTAAAATTATATTTAGTTTATATATGTAAAACAATGTGAGCCAAACTGTTTTTCTTTTAAACCCAATAAGCATGTTAGGTATAGAAATACACCTAAATTTAAATTCTAATAGTTTCTTCAAAATACTCTTAAATTAATTTATGTCATAAAAAATCATGAAATATAATTATTATATATTTTTTCCTATTCATATAAACATACTATTTAAGTTATAAAAATAATTGTTTCAACTAGGTGAATCTTTTTATTTTTGTGGTTTGTTAAAGTTAATTTTTAATACTTTACTGACACGAAAATTCTTCAAAACTATTTCACAATTCAATCAAGAGTAGAGCTCATAGGTCGTCAATCGAATAGTATTGTATTTTTTTATATAGAATAATTTATTCATTACATATTTATTCTAAAAGTGTTCATAATACTTTTGTATACGCTTCGAACTGTATCTGTATGTTATTATACGACTAAATATTTAAAAGCTAAATCGTTAGTTACCTATTAAAAAAACAAAACATTAACATAAAATATTATATTTTTTTTTAAAGTTGTTAGTCTAATAAAAATAAAAAATAAAATTTATATCAGTTTTATAAAAATTTAATTTATTGACTATTTCTTAATGATATCTGTTTTTTTAATTATATTAACTGCTTTAATTTTAATAGAATAATATAAAGTATTGCACTTTTGTTTGTTTTAGTATTAGCTGCAATAACGACGATTTGAATGTCAAAATTGAAAAAGAATGGGCAATTTACCTCCATGCTGCGGTGTACCTCCACCTGTGACAATTACTTGTTATCACACAAACACACTATCACAAATCTGTCTAGAAAATGTTTGCATTGTCCTGCAGTTTGCGTTAATAAACCTACATTAAATACAAACTTTGTTTTTGTTAGTATTTGAGATTTTTATTTTGCAATCGATCCTTTCTGTTGATTATAACTAGTTCAATTAGATTTAGCGCCATAGAAACAATTTGTTTTCATTATTGTTGCTACGGGTCCGATTGGTAATTTTTTTTAGATTTTAATCAAAATAACTTGGTCGAATTCTGTGATAAATATTAAATACTTAACGTATTGCGTTGTGTTTCGTTAATGAGTTCCAATTGAGTTTTGTCTTGCCTGTAATTCATTTGTTATACATTTTAAGTAGCAGCCGTGAACAGCGGTTTACGGTTCTACGTAATGTGAGTACCTACCGTTTTGTATACATTATTGTCGTGTTTTCCGTATTCCATTGACTTAGAATGCTGCTTGTTAATAAATAGAATTATAATCCATATGTGTTTGTTTATTACTTACTAATTGCTCGGAGTTTGGTTGAATGACACAGAATGTCACTTTAATTTAACATAGTCGACAAAATGGGCTATCGTCTAGTTTTAATCTTTATCGTGTTAGATTCTTACCAACAAGTCGTACTTGTAGTTTTGTGTTATTCATCTAATTTTAGTAAATTATTATTTAGTTTTAAATATTAAAAAAAAACAAAATATACCACTCAAAACTTTGTTGGTTTTTTATTTTTCAAATCATGTTAACTAAATTATTCTTTGTTATATCATTGTTATTACTAAATTTAATACTTAATAAAATAGTAAAGTTTTGTAATTAATTTGTCCTATAAATGTCAATTATAGAGTTTGGAAGCGGTATAAAATGTTGAAAATTAAACTTGAAAATGATGAAACAGAACAACACTCCTTTGATGTCATTGCACCCAAACCGTTAAATGTGCAGTTCAAAAACAATGAAATTTCTACAACAGAGGAGTATTTGATAAAGAATAAGGTCGACAATACTTATGAGTAGGTCAACTTTAATACCATTTTTTTACTAGATAAAACAATAAAGCTTTTGTAACTATGTCTTCCTCCGTAATTAAAAAAAAAATTTAATTGATGATGTCATAATTCATTTTCAAAATAGTTTTAATAATATTGTTTAAAGTTCTTTATTCTTTTTTTTTGTTACTATTATGTATATATTTTTTTAATTTTAATACAAAATATAAATTATGTTAATTTTGTTTGTTGTAAATTTAGCTGCAATAACGACAATTTGAATGTCAAATTTGAAAAAGAATGCTTCAATGATTGTGTTTTCGAATCAGATATTGAAATCGTAAGGCATGAACTGTTTGATGCTGAAAAAGAGCTAACACCGTTGTATGACTGCAATTACTGCCAAAAATCGTTTAAGACAAAACGACGAATTAAAAACCATATTTTAAGGTAACCACGGACATAACAAAGAAAAATAGAATTTAAGCATAAATTACCGTTTTAAATAAACGTTGATTGACGGTTAGGTGATGAGGTTGTTTACTTAAATAATTAAAAGAATCCTGCATGTCACGAATAACAGTAATAAGTGAGGTTTGATTACTAACAGTAAGCATAAGTTACTTTCAAGTCCTCCTTTGGGGATATTATGGTGTCTAAACCGACCTACTATTCCATGATTACTAAATAGCAGTTACCTGTGAACATAAAAATAACACTATCGCCTTTCTAGAAGCTCCTTAGGGCTGCCACTAAAACTTTCAAATTTTCCTGTTTCTCTGGCCCACTTTTTATATATATATATATATAAATAATTTGATTATATTTAATGAAAATATAGTGTAGGTACTGAAAATAACTGTCGATAGGAGACCCAATCTATGTCTATGGCCACTCAGTTTATATTAAAAGTTAATAATTACTGTTGCTTTATAAATAATACTGTAATATGTATTAGTTGAATAAAAAATTACCATGCAAAATAATTTTACCTTTAAGGGGGCTCCATATAGACCATTTTTTCAGTCAAAATACATAATTTTCATTCCATCGCACAGGCCTAGCCAGTGATCCGATAGGCAATCTAAAAACGGATCTGAATTTGTCATGAAGTTTACTTAGGATCGGTCGAAGGACTTTTTACCATTTTTAATTTTAACCCTTTCTAAATTTTATTTTAAAATGTTGAAATTGTATAAAATATTCAAACGTGTTTTATACATAGTAGGAATAAGAAATCAAAAAAGTATGTCGACCGATCTCAAGTAAATTTCATGACGAATTCAAATCTGTTTTCATATTACTTATCGGATCACTGGTTGAGCCTGTGCGATGGAACAAAAAATGTATGTTGTATTAACTCAAATGGCTTTTACTCATAGACAAAATGATTTAAATTAAAAATAATACCTTGAAGCTTATACAAATTAACCGGTAAATTTATTGACTTGGTCGAAATTTATTTAAACTAATTTTTTCTTAAATATTGCCTATACAAAACTCCTTAAAAATGGTCTGTATGGAGCCCTCTTATTATATTTCTAGTCTCTGTTTCGCGTTTAATTGTCTGTAATAAAATTAAAATTGCATACATTCATGTTTACTCTTATTCTTTTATTTCGTAGCTATTCTCAATGCTAATTTACTTATAGTTTTCGATGAGATGAATATTTAATTCTATGATTCTGTCGTACTTTCCTACTTCTTCAACTCCTCTTTATTTTATTTTTTTTTCTTAAAAAATAACATTCAGAGTATTTCTACTGCTAGTAATATTTTATAATATTTTGTATACAAAATTACATACTCGCCCTTTTTATATTCTATAAATGTATAAAACATGTAGACTGACCGTTACTTATTTAGATTTGAATTATTATAATACTTACGAAGTCATTTAAAATCCAATATTTAATGCATTGTAAACAAGATAAATAAATAAATATTTTCTAATTTCTATATTTGAAAATATAAAAAATTATATTTTATATTTTTAAAAAATAACACAAGTAAAAATATTTTCAAATGGGTAAATTTCAACACTATTATGTGTCGTGTGCGAAATCCTTGAAATTATTTCTTAAAAATTATGCTTGATTGATGCATTAACACATATAATAATAGTAATATTAATATTTGCTATAAAATATTGATCTTAAATTAATTTATTTTGTTTCATGCGTGTTGCAGTATTCATTATCCGTGTAACGAGATCGACACTTCAAATTGTACAAACTCTATTGATAACTATACTAGAAACAAAGATGTCCTATTTAATTGTGGTATTTGTTTAAAAAGTTTCTCATCAAAATCAAACCTGAAAAGACATTGGCGGATTCATACGGACGAAAAGGCTTTTAAATGCAATGTGTGTGAAAAGTCATTTGGACGAAAAGAACACCTCAAAACTCATAAAATGACACATACTGGAGAAAAACCTTTTAATTGTGACGTTTGTGAAAAAACATTCAGTCACCAATCTAACCTCAACTACCATAAAAGGATACATACCAGAGAGAAACCTTTTAAATGCAATGTGTGTGAAAGAAAATTCAGTCAACAGTCTTCTCTCAAGACTCATGAGAGAACACATACCGGAGAAACACTTTTTAGATGCGATGTCTGTGAAAAAAAATTCAGTCAAAAATCTAATCTCAAAAATCATGAAAGGATACATACCGGAGAGAAACCTTACAAATGCGATGTCTGTGCAAAGACATTCTGTCATCCATCTAACCTCAAAACTCATGAACGCATACATATTGGTGGGGTACGATATGAATGCTCCGTCTGTAAAAAATCGTATAGTTGCCAATATCATCTTAAAAGGCATCAAGCAAAAGCACACGACTAAAACCTCATATACCTTTCGTGACTATTTGACAGTTTTAAAATAGTTTTGGTAACAATTTTTCATTATTTTGCTCTTTATTTAACCTACGATTTAATATGAATTATTGATATACGAGTATATTTACCAATTTTTTTATAGTTTTTTAATGTTTACTATCGTTTAACTGATCATTACTTTGACGTTTTCTATTTGACTTATAATTCTTTTCACAGACTATATACATTTTTAAGTTTTTATATTTTTATAATATCATTTTTTAGTTCTATAATTTACACATGAAAAATAGTAGATAATATTGTTATTTTGTTAAAATATTAACAAGTAAGTTTATATTTTTAAATTGGTTATTAATTAAAAATATGTATTTTTTTTTGTATCCAACTAACCATGGTTATGAAAATTACGTTTTATTTTAATTATTTTGATATTTTTAGTTTATTGTTTCCACTGTATTACTGTGTTTTCGTTTTATTGTGCTACCTATATATTTTTTAATAACATTTATATTATGCAGAATATTAGTTGTAAATTGTATTATTATTCATATATAATTGTATTATATATTTTTTGGTCATATATATTTTTTATAATTACTGTTTGTTTTAAATATAAATTATTTTTATTAAACGAGTATTAGAAGTTTATATTTTAAAATTTATTTTTAATTTTAAATATTTTTATCCGTCTAATCATATTTATGGAAACTGTTTTTTTATTTTTTAATTATTTTAATTTAATTTTTTCATCTGTATGATGCATTTATTACACGGTAAATTATAGGTGGGCTATTATATTATTTCTAGTATTTATTAAAATAAGTTTATAGTCTACTAAAATAACTGTTGATTTTTTTATTACATTTTTCTATTATCTATTAAAATTTGTTTACAAGATTTATGTTAACTCAATCTACCAGTCGTGTTTAAGTGAATTATTTTATAATTATTAAATACAATTTTTTTTTCTAAGTTTGTTGTTTTTCCCTTTGCAAAAATTTGTATTTTCGTTTCATTTTGCTACTTTTGTATTATAGTACAAAAATGTATTTAAGGAAGATGGTGTTTTTAATTTGTAGTGTACAAGATTTTATTAAATTGAAAATGAATGTCTAGTGAATAAATATGACACATTTTCAGATACTATTGTAAAAAGGTTACAGACCTTTGTTAAAAAACATTACATTACATTGAGCAATTTTACTATTAAAGCTAATACTACTAGTTGTAGTTCACATAAATTGTGTCTAACCAACAATATAAATTGTTTTATGTAGCATAATATATACGTTTTAGCAAGATGATAAATCGTTGTGAATATAGATTTTTCTATCATATATATTATAGTTAATTAAACGATATTAGTTAATTAAAGTACTATCAATAACTAGTTTACATACAAAATATTGTGTATATTTCTAATCCTCCCCTTACAAATTGTATTTTTTTGTAACCAATTTTAAAAAAGTATTTTAAATATAGATTTAGCGTTTCAATTTGTATATGAAAACATCGGTTCAGCAATTATGGAAATATCTTCAATACATTGTTTTTATTAGTTTTATTGGTTCGTTCTCAAGAACACACATCGTGTTTGAGAGTAGAAACATTAGTGGTCATAAGTTAAAATACACCTAACAACTATTAGTATTATGAATAATAAAAATTAATCATAAAGCGCAGTTACCGTATTTTTATCACAGGCTTCAACCAACAATTTTCGAAATCACCAAGCTATTTTATTTAGTTTAGGTCATTTAGTTTTTATAATATTTCAACGCAAAAACAGAAATAGATACCGTTGGTTTTAAATTGAGTATTACTTTGACAGGTTATTAAATTACTCTACCGGAAATAATCCGGTGTACACTTCTATAGTTGATGCTCGTTTTAGACAGTATACCTAATTATAATGATAATAATATTTCACTAAGGCTAATACAGTCTAATAGTTAAACACGTATAGAAATATAGTATAATTATTGTTTATTTTTTTTACTAACAAAATGATGTGCAATTTGGGGCAGAAGGGATGTTCAAAATTGTTCAAAACTATAATATAGTGCTACTATACTACTTACTATACATATTATGTACCTATAGTTAGGCCACAAAATAAAAATTAAAATACATGATTTGAGTACATTGATTGTAAACAAATTCCAGGTTGCTAGGTGTGAGTAAATTAACACAGATAATAAACATATTTTCATTATATTGTTAATTACGAGGTAATTATAGGTAGCTAAGGCATTTAACGTCCAAGTTAAAAAAAGATAAATATCAAATATACTTTTTAATTGAATTAATATTGTGCTGAAATATATTTTTTATAGTACATTTCTCTAGCTCACACACAAAACAAATGTATAAATTATAAAATCTATTCAGGCAATGTCTTGGCTAGAAACTCGTATACAAGTTAATTTTGAATTGATGGTTTTTTGTTAGTAGTTTAACTTGAGTTTTAAATTTATATTATATTTGAAACTGTATATAAATCAGCACAGCGTAATAGTCGGACTTTCTGTGTAAATGTTTAAATAACATTTTTTTTAAAATTATACTGATTGTTTTCTTTTCTTAGGTTAGGTTATTTAGCTAAAATTCAATTTTTTATTCACCTTTGTCGAATCATATTTTGTAATTCCGGTTAAGGTACTCGAAAACTAATTATTCTCAAACATAAAAATATTAAATTACAGTTATAATAGTGAAGCTATAATAATTTAAATTTTAACATAATAATGTATAATATACGAGTATTATGTAAGCTTATACTTCAAACTTGGTTTTGAATTTAAAATATTTATTCATTTTTATCCGACTAATCATTTTTATAGAAACTATTTTTATCTTTTAATTTTATTAATTTTATGTTTTCATCTGTATAAAATTTCTTTCTACATTTATATTTTAAAAAATTTGTTTGATGCATTATTTACACGTTGAAGAAATGATATGTTATTATACTGTTTCTATTATTTATTAAAATACTTAATAGTTAATTTTGGTTTCGCTTGATTTAAAACAATAAGGTATTTTCATAATTAATAACGTTATTTGTTTAGGTATAAGAAACGATGTCTCATCAACAGTTCATCGAAGGATTTAGTAATTATTACCAATCTGTTGCTAAAGTTCTTTTTGCAAAAAATATATAATAAATCGAAATTAGATATTTCTGTAGATTTTTTTAAGTAGGCACAACTAAGTAACAATATCAGATAGATAAATTGTTAATTAAACTTAAAAACTTTGGAAATCACCATTTTTTTGTGGTTTATAACCTAATGTTTTTGAATAACTTAAATCTATTAAAATTGAATCTTAAAAACGGGTAACAATTTCAAATTTTTGGAAAAATTTCTGATAATTATTTATTTGAAATTTAAACGTTGTCACCGTGATAATTAACAGGAGCATAAAGCTATTATAATAAAGGTAATGTTCTTGTAAGTATGACGATTAACAAATGTAGTGTGAACATTTGTTACTCAGATTTTTCGTAATAAGTTTTTAGCCGTTGGTTTAACTTCAGATGAATTTGTTAAAAAGTAACTTTTTACTTGCTCCAGTTAATTTTTTTATAAGTTAAGAATGTAGCTAATACAACTTTAAGTAGTTAAAAACAAGCATCTTTGCTAACCAGGGCCTAGTAATAAACAAGTAAAAAGCAGCGAAAACAAAGAAAGAAATGTTTTTAATTAAATTTAAAAATTTTAATGTTTTGTCGGTTAAGTTAAAACCTTATTCCTTTTTAATATCTCACACTTTGTCGATACACCGCCATTATTCTATTAAATTTAAATTAAGTTTTTGTTTAGAAAAATTTATTATTAAATACTACTTGAGAAATAATTTAACTTCAAAAATAAGAACTGACAATTTAATTTTAACTTTAATAATATGTTTTTAAAAGTTAAAACAAGAATGTATAAAAAATGGATAATGTATAGTATTAAATAGATACATTTAATAAGTACTTTCTTCGTGCTAAATATACTAATAGGTATGTCTCTTGTTTGACAAAAAATACAGTATTAAGAGTAAAATAATTAAACTTGCTTATTATGTAACGGAAAAGCCAGTTTATTAATTGATTTTAAATATTAGTTAAGCTTATATACATTGCACATAATATCTGATTGGTCTATGACATTTTGAAGTGGAGAAATATGAGTTAAATTAACAGCTCTGGAAAAAATAAATTAAATTCATTAGTTAGTAATGTATCAATTTAATTCAAGCGAAATAACTTTAAATATCTTAACTGTCCATATTAAATATTACATAAGATAATAGATTCAACATTGATAGACTTCTGTGTTCAGTAAAGATCATACGTGATAGCTTAAGTAAAAAAAAACGCACATATATAATATTTTAGAACTATGGCTTAATTAATAATTAGTGTAAGTAGATACATAAACACAATTTTATAGTAGACTGGCTGTTTGTAAAAACTCCTCACTATATTATTTACCAAATTATATAATACACACATTTTAGTTCTTTTAGATTTGTACCACGGTTTTCAACTAAGCTACCAGTTGATCGATATACTGAGTTTTTATTTGCATATTTTATAATAAAACACAAAAGAATATTTAAATTATACTATAAAAAAAAATATATATATATATTCAAAATGTTAATAAAAGTGTATTGTTTTTTTTCTTTAGTACGAAGAAAAACTACCTATTCACATATAGGTATTTTAAAGGGAAAATAAGTGTCAGCTTTAATTTTTTTATAGTTTTTCAATGTTTACTATCGTTTAATTGATCATTACTTTGACGTTTTCTATTTGACTTATAATTCTGTTCACAGACTATATACATTTTTAAGTTTTTATATTTTTATAATATCATTTTTTAGTTCTATAATTTACACATGAAAAATAGTTGATAATATTGTTATTTTGTTAAAATATTAACAAGTAAGTTTATATTTTTAAATTGGTTATTAATTAAAAATATGTATTTTTTTTATAACCAACTAACCATGGTTATGAAAATTACGTTTTATTTTAATTATTTTGATATTTTTAGTTTATTGTTTCCACTGTATTACTGTGTTTTCGATTTATTGTGCTACTTATATATTTTTTAAGTTGGGAAATTGATTTGTATGCCTTATAAAACCCCAGTTTACCTCCATGCTGCGGTGTACCTCCACCTGTGACAATCACTCGTTATCATACAAACACACACTATCACAAATCTGTCTAGAAAATGTTTACATTGTCATTTGTCTTGCAGTTCGCGTTAATAAACCTACATTAAATACAAACTTTGTTTTTGTTAGTATTTGAGATTTTTATTTTGCAATCGATCCTTTCTGTTGATTATAACTAGTTCAATTAGATTTAGCGCCATAGAAACAATTTGTTTTCATTATTGTTGCTACGGGTCCGATTGGTAATTTTTTTTAGATTTTAATCAAAATAACTTGGTCGAATTCTGTGATAAATATTAAATACTTAACGTATTGCGTTGTGTTTCGTTAATGAGTTCCAATTGAGTTTTGTCTTGCCTGTAATTCATTTGTTATACATTTTAAGTAGCAGCCGTGAACAGCGGTTTACGGTTCTACGTAATGTGAGTACCTACCGTTTTGTATACATTATTGTCGTGTTTTCCGTATTCCATTGACTTAGAATGCTGCTTGTTAATAAATAGAATTATAATCCATATGTGTTTGTTTATTACTTACTAATTGCTCGGAGTTTGGTTGAATGACACAGAATGTCACTTTAATTTAACATAGTCGACAAAATGGGCTATCGTCTAGTTTTAATCTTTATCGTGTTAGATTCTTACCAACAAGTCGTACTTGTAGTTTTGTGTTATTCATCTAATTTTAGTAAATTATTATTTAGTTTTAAATATTAAAAAAAAACAAAATATACCACTCAAAACTTTGTTGGTTTTTTATTTTTCAAATCATGTTAACTAAATTATTCTTTGTTATATCATTGTTATTACTAAATTTAATACTTAATAAAATAGTAAAGTTTTGTAATTAATTTGTCCTATAAATGTCAATTATAGAGTTTGGAAGCGGTATAAAATGTTGAAAATTAAACTTGAAAATGATGAAACAGAACAACACTCCTTTGATGTCATTGCACCCAAACCGTTAAATGTGCAGTTCAAAAACAATGAAATTTCTACAACAGAGGAGTATTTGATAAAGAATAAGGTCGACAATACTTATGAGTAGGTCAACTTTAATACCATTTTTTTACTAGATAAAACAATAAAGCTTTTGTAACTATGTCTTCCTCCGTAATTAAAAAAAAAATTTAATTGATGATGTCATAATTCATTTTCAAAATAGTTTTAATAATATTGTTTAAAGTTCTTTATTCTTTTTTTTTGTTACTATTATGTATATATTTTTTTTAATTTTAATACAAAATATAAATTATGTTAATTTTGTTTGTTGTAAATTTAGCTGCAATAACGACAATTTGAATGTCAAATTTGAAAAAGAATGCTTCAATGATTGTGTTTTCGAATCAGATATTGAAATCGTAAGGCATGAACTGTTTGATGCTGAAAAAGAGCTAACACCGTTGTATGACTGCAATTACTGCCAAAAATCGTTTAAGACAAAACGACGAATTAAAAACCATATTTTAAGGTAACCACGGACATAACAAAGAAAAATAGAATTTAAGCATAAATTACCGTTTTAAGTAAACGTTGATTGACGGTTTAGTGATGAGGTTGTTTACTTTAATTATTAAAAGAATCCTGCATGTCACGAATAACAGTTATAAGTGAGGTTTGATTACTAACAGTAAGCATAAGTTACTTTCAAGTCCTCCTTTGGGATATTATGGTGTCTAAACCGACCTACTAATCCATGATTACTAAATAGCAGTTACTTGTGAACATAAAAATAACACTATCGCCTTTCTAGAAGCTCCTTAGGGCTGCCACTAAAACTTTCAAATTTTCCTGTTTCTCTGGCCCACTTTTTATATATATATATATATAAATAATTTGATTATATTTAATGAAAATATAGTGTAGGTACTGAAAATAACTGTCGATAGGAGACCCAATCTATGTCTATGGCCACTCAATTTATATTAAAAGTTAATAATTACTGTTGCTTTATAAATAATACTGTAATATGTATTAGTTGAATAAAAAATTACCATGCAAAATAATTTTACCTTTAAGGGGCTCCATATAGACCATTTTTTCAGTCAAAATACATAATTTTCATTCCATCGCACAGGCCTAGCCAGTGATCCGATAGGCAATCTAAAAACGGATCTGAATTTGTCATGAAGTTTACTTAGGATCGGTCGAAGGACTTTTTACAATTTTTAATTTTAACCCTTTCTAAATTTTATTTTAAAATGTTGATATTGTATAAAATGTTCAAACGTGTTTTATACATAGTAGGAATAAGAAATTTTATCCTAAAAAAATGTATTAATCTTTTGTAATTATGTCGTCCTCCTCTATAAACCCATCGTTGGTATCGACGTTAGCGTTTGCTGACATTTAACTTATAGTAATAACCACTTCTTCGTTTGATTAAAGATTGTTTTAAAACTATATCTACCTCTTATCAATATGATGTTAAACCAAAATACCAAAAAAAATAAAATTGTGGGTACGATGACCGGTCTAAGTCTATATTACTGCATTATGTTACCGTACATTCTCATGATATTTACCATGTTATATTGTTTTCTATCATTCCACCTACAACGATTTCAAGTATTTTACCCTTGAAATATGTTTCTAGTCTCTGTGTCATGGTAAATTTTAACATACACGCAAGTTCTTTATTCTTTTTTTTTTGTTACTATTATGTATATATTTTTTTTAATTTTAATACAAAATATAAATTATGTCAATTTTGTTTGTTGTAAATTTAGCTGCAATAACGACGATTTGAATGTCAAATTTGAAAAAGAATGCTTCAATGATTGTGTTTTCGAATCAGATATTGAAATCGTAAGGCATGAACTGTTTGATGCTGAAAAAGAGCTAACACCGTTGTATGACTGCTATTACTGCCAAAAATCGTTTAAGACAAAACGACGAATTAAAAACCATATTTTAAGGTAACCACGGACATAACAAAGAAAAATAGAATTTAAGCATAAATTACCGTTTTAAGTAAACGTTGATTGACGGTTTAGTGATGAGGTTGTTTACTTTAATTATTAAAAGAATCCTGCATGTCACAAATAACAGTTATAAGTGAGGTTTGATTACTAAGAGTAAGCATAAGTTACTTTCAAGTCCTCCTTTGGGGATATTATGGTGTCTAAACCGACCTACTATTCCATGATTACTAAATAGCAGTTACCTGTGAACATAAAAATAACACTATCGACTTTCTAAAAGCTCCTCAGAGCTGCCACTTAAAATAACATAAATACAAACAGATAAAGTACAACTATTTTAGTAATTATGTGTCGTATGCCAAATCCTTGAAATTATTTCTTTAAAATTATGCTTGTTTGATGCATTAACACATATAACTATAGTAATATTAATATTTGCTATAAAATATTAATCTTAAATTAATTTATTTTGTTTCATGCGTGTTGCAGTATTCATTATCCTTGTAACGAGATCGACACTTCAAATTTTACAAACTATTTGGATTACTATACTCGAAACAAAGATGTCCTATTTAATTGTGGTATTTGTTTAAAAAGTTTTACATCAAAATTATCCCTGAGAAGACATTGGCGGATTCATACTGACGAAAAGCCCTTTAAGTGCGATGTCTGTGCAAAGACATTCTGTCAACAATCTACCCTCAAAACTCATGCACGTATACATACCGGAGAGAAACCTTTTAGATGCAATTTCTGTGAAAAATGTTTTAATACACAATCTTACCTCAAAACTCATAAAAGGATGCATACCGGAGAGAAACCTTTTAAATGCAATGTGTGTGAAAGAAAATTCAGTCAACAGTCTTCTCTCAAGACTCATGAGAGAACACATACCGGAGAAACATTTTTTAGATGCGATGTCTGTGAAAAAAAATTCAGTCAAAAATCTAATCTCAAAAAACATGAAAGGATACATACCGGTGAGAAACCATTTAGATGCGATTTCTGTGCAAAGACATTCTGTCAACAATGTGATCTCAAGAAACATGAAAGGATACATACCGGTGAGAAACCATTTAGATGCGATTTCTGTGCAAAGACATTCTGTCAACAATCTACCCTCAAAACTCATGCACGTATACATACCGGAGAGAAACCTTTTAGATGCAATTTCTGTGAAAAATGTTTTAATACACAATCTTACCTCAAAACTCATAAAAGGATGCATACCGGAGAGAAACCTTTTAAATGCAATGTGTGTGAAAGAAAATTCAGTCAACAGTCTTCTCTCAAGACTCATGAGAGAACACATACCGGAGAAACACTTTTTAGATGCGATGTCTGTGAAAAAAAATTCAGTCAAAAATCTAATCTCAAAAAACATGAAAGGATACATACCGGTGAGAAACCATTTAGATGCGATTTCTGTGCAAAGACATTCTGTCTACAATGTGATCTCAAGAAACATGAAAGGATACATACCGGTGAGAAACCGTTTAAGTGCGATGTGTGTGAAAAAAAATTCAGTCAACAATCTAGTCTCAAACTTCATGAAAGAATGCATACCGGGAGAAACCTTTTAAATGCAATGTGTGTGAAAGAAAATTCAGTCAACAGTCTTCTCTCAAGACTCATGAGAGAACACATACCGGAGAAACACTTTTTAGATGCGATGTCTGTGAAAAAAAATTCAGTCAAAAATCTAATCTCAAAAAACATGAAAGGATACATACCGGAGAGAAACCTTACAAATGCGATGTCTGTGCAAAGACATTCTGTCAACAATCTACCCTCAAAACTCATGAACGCATACATATTGGTGGGGTACGTTATGAATGCTCCGTCTGTAAAAAAACGTATGGTCACCAAAATACTCTAAAAAGACATCAAGCAAAAGCACACGACTAAAACTTGAAAATGATGAAACAGAACAACACTCCTTTGAAGTCATTGCACCCAAACCGTTAAATGTGCAGTTCAAAAACAATGAAGTTTCTACTATAGAGGAGTGTATAGTAAAGAATGAAGTCAACAATACTTATGAGTAAGTCAATTTTAATACCATTTTTTACTAGATAAAACAATTAAGCTTTTGTAACTATGACTTCCTCCGTAATTTAAAAAAAAATTTAATTGATGATGTCATAATTCATTTTTAAAATAGTTTTAATAATATTGTTTAAACAATTATTTTTGACATTATAAAAAGTAAAGAGAAACATCAACTTTTCATGAGTAACTTAATTCACTTTAAGCTATTATAAATCATAAGGGTTTAAATTATATTAAACATATGAGTTTATTTAAATCTTGTTATCGATTAGTTAAATTTTCAGTAAAATGTATACTCTTTTAAAATAATTGTTTAGTAAATACTATTTTAAAAGTTTTATATATAATACATAAGTAATTTCTATTTTTATCTCTATAAAAATTAAACTGTTAATGGTCTGATAGTGAATTATAAATAAATCCAAATTTTAAGTATATTAAAAAAAATATATATATTTTTTTTTTACTCTCCTTTTAGGTAATAGACCTTCTATGCTTACACAAAAGCCAAAGCTATTGAACTATTTATAGATAAAAGTCTGAATATACAGTAAAATAATAATTTAGGCTTTGGTAATTACTTAGTTGATGAGCATTATGATGTATCCAACAATAAACACGAAACTGACGAATTAGTGAATGAAACGCAGTTTAAAATCAAAATATATTTAATTCTGTTTGTTAATTTGTTCAACATTAAATTAATTTATTTTGTTTCATGCGTGTTGCAGTATTCATTATCCGTGTAACGAGATCGACACTTCAAATTGTACAAACTCTATTGATAACTATACTCGAAACAAAGATGTCCTATTTATTTAAAAAGTTTCTCATCAAAATCAAACCTGAAAAGACATTGGCGGATTCATACGGACGAAAAGGCTTTTAAATGCAATGTGTGTGAAAAAACATTTGGACGAAAAGAACACCTCAAAACTCATAAAATGACACATACTGGCAAGAAACCCTTTAAATGCGATGTCTGTAAAAAAACATTTAGTCAACAAACTAATCTCAAGAGACATGCACGTATACATACCGGCGAGAATCCCCTTAGATGCGATATCTGTGAAAAAGGTTTTAATACACAATCTAACCTCAAAACTCATGAACGCATACATATTGGTGGGGTACGTTATGAATGCTCCGTCTGTAAAAAATCGTATGGTCACCAAAATACTTTAAAAAAACATCAAGCAAAAGCACACGACTAAAACCTCATTTACCTTTCGTGACTATTTGACAGTTTTAAAATAGTTTTGGTAACAAATTTTCATTATTTTGCTCTTTATTTAACCCACAATTTAATATGAACTAATGATCATTACTTTGACGTTTTCTATTTGACTTATAATTCTTTTCACAGACTATATACATTTTTAGTGTTAACATTTTGATAATATAATTCCTTAGTTCCATAATTTACACATGAGAAATAGTAGATAATATTATTACTATTGTTATTTTGTTAAAATATTATCAAGTAAGATTATATTTTTAAATTAGCTTTTAATTAAAAATACGTATTTTTTTATATCCAACTAACCATAGTTATGAAAATTACGTTGTATTTAAATTATTTTGATATTTTAAATTTATTACACTGTATTACTGTGTTTCTGATTTATTGTGCTACCTATATGTTTTTTTTAATAACTTACATATTATACAAAATATTAGTTATAAATTTTATTTATTATTTGTATATTATTTGTTGATATATTTTTTATAATTACTGTTTGTTTTAAATATAAATGATTTATAATATACGAGTATTATGTAAATTTATATTTTAAAATTTATTTTTAATTAAAAATATTAATTTATTTTTATCCGTCTAATTATGTTTTATGGAAACTGTATTTTATCTTTTAATTAAATTTTTTTATCTGTATGATGCATTAATTACACGTTAAATTTTAGGTGGGTTATTATATTATTTGTATTATTTATTAAAAGATGTTTATAGTCTACTGTACTAACTGTTGATTTTTTTATTACATTTTTTCTTTTTTCTACTAAAATTTGTTTACAATATTTATGTTAACTTAATCGACCAGTCGTGTTTATGTGAGTTATTTTATAATTATTAAATACAATCTTTTTTTCTAAGTTTGTTGTTTTTCCCTTGGTAAAAATGTGTGTTTTCGATTCATTTTGCTACTTTTGTATTATAGTACAACATGTATTTAAGGCAGATGGTGTTTTTAATTTGTATTGTGCAAGACGTCATTAAATTAAAAAAGGAATGTTGAGTGAATAAATACAACACATTTTCAGATACTATTGTAAAAAGGTTACGGATTTTTGTTTAAAAATCATTACATTACATTAAGCAATTTTATATTAAAGCTAATCGTACACTGTTTTAGTTGTAGTACACATAAATTGTGTCTAATCAACAAATTAAATGGTTTTATGTAGCATATATGCGTTTTAGCAAGATGATAAATCGTTGTGAACAAACATTTTTCTATCACATACATAATAGTTATTTAAACGATATTAGTTAATTAAAGTACTATCAATAACTAATTTACTTACAAAATATTGTTTATATTTCTAATACTCCTCTTATAAATTGTATTCTTTTCTAACCAAGCCAGCATCGGCCAAGCGAAATTCTTAGTAAACTAAAACCTAATAATTTTAAAAAAAGTCATTAAAATATAGTTTTATCATTTGAATATGAAAATATCGGTTCAGCAATTATGGAAATATCTTCAATACTTTTTTTTAAATTAATTTTTATGGTTCGTTCTAAACACACACCGTGTTTGAGAGTAGGAACATTAGTGATCATAAGTTGAAATACACCTAACAACTATTAGTATTATGAATAATATAAATTAATCATAAAACGCAGTTACCGTTTTTTTTAATCACAGGCTTCAACCAACAACTTTGGAATTCACCCAGCTTTTTTATATAGTTTAGGGCATTTAGTTTTTATAATATTTCAACGCAAAAACAGAAATAGATACCGTGTGTTTTAAATTGAGTATTACTTTGTCAGGTTATTAAATTACTCTACCGGAAATAATCCTGTGCACACTTTTATAGTTGATGTTCGATTTAGACAGTATACTTAGGTATAATGATAATAATATTATCATTATTCACTAAGACTAATACAGTCTAATAGTTAAACACGTATAGAAATACAGTATAATTATTGTTTATTTTTTTACTGATAGAATGATGTGCAGTTTGGGGCAGAAGGGATGTTCAAAATTGTACAAATCTGTAAGTATAGTAAGGCCGCAAAATAAAAATATTAATACACGATTTGAGTACTTTGATTGTAGACGAATTCCAGGTTGCTATGTGTGTTAGTAAATTAACAGATAATGACCATATTTTCATTATATTGTTAATTATGATGTACTTATAGGTAATTATGACAATACAATTTATGGACAGGGGAACAATTCTAATCGTATCCATCCTAATACTTAAATTTTATTTTTAAGCACACAATTGTCATTAGTTATAATGCTTTTATCGATATTTGTACTTTTATATGTGAACACTGGGCCCCCTTTATTTATTTACTTAGGGGAACGGTGTACAAAGTGGCCATAGCGGGTCAAGTAGCCACGTTGTATATTTCTGTTATTAGAGTTATCAGCTATTCAGTTCTTTTTCCATATGTTTATTATTATTATTATTATTATTGATCGATAAATCATAAATGATAATAAGATACACCGTTGATGAGTGAAAACTGAAAAACCGTTTTGCGCCCGGCTGTTGTGAGGTAACAGTTGCGTTTAAAAAATGTTATTAAATATTTTAGCCACTCCTGAATTTAATATTGCTAAATGATTTACCCAGTAATAAAATAATAACTATAAAAAGGGCAAATTGGCCACTACTAATTATTTTTCCATTTCAATTTAAGTTATTATAAGCAAGCCGTAAGGTTAGGGTTGTGGGGGAAATTGACACCGGAGGACAGCCGCCAGTCGCTTTCCAAACGTTCTCTATAATTTCGAGTAAGATTTTTGTCGTTTTTCATTTATACGGTTTTAGATAGGTTTGTTTTAGATGTAATTAATAATTTAAGGTTATACTTAAATGTACTACACTGTGTAACAACCCTGTAGCACTGTACGTATGTGTTGCAGGCGGTTCGCCCGCCCATGACATCCGCTTATGTCAACGTGGAGGAAGGGTAGTATCATGTTGTTAAATTATATGGATTACCATGTCAACAAAGCCTGAACTAATATCAAATACGTTTGAAAAACAAATATAAATTTCGACAAAACACAAATAATAACAATGTTTTTTATATGTCATTTCATCGGATATTTGCTATAACTTGTTTACATTATAATGCTAATAAATAATGCTAAATAATACAATTGTTGGATATATAATGTAAGAAAATGCACCCACTGGCCAGTATAGTATTCAACTTTCTCGTTCTTTAACATAAAATTTGAATTAGTGTTTTCATTTGAAAGAAAATATATATAAGATTCACTCATTATGAATTGTAAAAGCTTTTATACTTAACAGCAACATTTTTCGTCATGCTGTCGGCAACTACAGGTACATAAAAAAAATCGAGTATATAAAACAATATCAATAAAGCTATAATATAATAAATTAAATAATAATAAAGAATTTTTAGAGAAAAACAAGTATAAAAATAGTTTAATTTTATTTTAATTTTATATTATACATATTTATTATTTATGTTTCAGGGTCTCGTGAAGGTACCTATTCAAACGATTTAAATATAATGAAAATATAAATACTTTAGCAGTATTAACATGTTTCTTTTACTTGTTTCATATTTAAGAAGACCAGTGTTAACTTAAATTAACTAGGTACTGCTAATAAATGTGAAATTGTGTATACATTTTTTTTTTTAGGGATTGAGAGATATCAGTTTTTGTGCTTGACAAAGATAAGTATAGTAGCAGTCTTACAATTATTACAACTGAAGACAAGAATATAATTAAATTAACCATAAATATGTATATACGATAGCCTTCTGAAATTATTGGATTTGTTAGTTACCTATAAAATAATGGGAACATTTTATATTTTAGTAATGCTAAAAATATTATAAATGCTTTTACGTTAGTACAATAAGAATACTTCTGCCATGTTCATTAGCATATTTTATAATCTTGTATGTCTATTTGTAAAATTATTTAAAAATTGAATTTCGTAGGCGTAAGCAAAGTTATAGCTATAGGTTAAAGTAATATAGGTATGCATAACTTTTAAAAATAAAAATTAAACAAGTATTTGACTTATTTTGTTCGATGTTTCAGATTTAAGAGTACCCACACTCCCAACCCCAGATAGACCACCACCCATAACTGGTATGTTATGATAATATCTAAAATTTATTGTTGTAAAATTAATTAAAAATGTATAATTATTATTCGCGAGTATTAGCAAAGTTAAACACTTAACTGAATTAACAGCAAAAAATTGTAGAACAGAGGTACTTGGAATATTATAATTAAAAAAAAAGCCAGTACAGCGGGGACGGGGAGGTTACAGGCTTACAGGAATTTTTACAACTTAAAGTAATAAAAATCACTTTCAAATAAACGCTTCGGTGCGAATCAGTAGTTAGTATTTTCAAGCCAGTACAGTCCAAACCAAGTACAGTATAGTCCCCCATTATGCCCCGTCCCATTTTAACTGGCTTTTTTTTTTTTTAATGTTTTAATAAAATTCCATATAATTTACTTCTTATCTAAAGTCATTCTCTATAAAATAATAACGATAAAATATGTACTTTAATTTAAGTCATAAATATTCAAAATAGGTGCATTAAATATTTCTTATAAATTTTAACTCGATTTGACCCTTTTATCGAAATTATAGCATTAAAGTTGAAACTTTTAAACTGATATGTTTTTCCAAATTTTAACTGTGAAGAAGTGAACTTTTTCAACTGTTACCACCCAAAAGTACCAACTAGATCAAATTTATTGATTGTAGAGTTGCTACTCGAAGGAGTTGGTCCAGTATTAAAAAAGTTGCAGTGTTGTATACAGACACAAAAAAGCTAAAATATAAAAAACAATTATTTGGAGATATTTTTGTTCGATGTTTCAGATGCGCGAGTTCCCTTAAGACCACGACACTCAAATGGTAAGTTGGACGATAATATCTAAAATTGATTGTTGTAAAAATAATTAAAAGTATAATTATTAATTCGTGATTATAAACAAAGTAT